GCGTGCGGGGCGGGCGGGGCCAGGCCGAGGGGAGTTAGGCGGCCCGCAGCCGCCCAGCCACTGTCGCGCTGCAGGCTGCAGACTCAGGCCGGACCATGATGCTGCCCCTCCTGCTCTGGGCCCTGCTGCTGCTGCTGGCTACAGTCCCCGGGCCGGGCCCCCGGCCTGCAGCAGGTATGCCCCTACCCTGCGCTTCTATCCCGGGCTCTGCCTACTTCCCTGCTGCAGCCAGGCCCAGGGTAGACCCCTCTGCTCAGCCTCTGTCCATCTGCCAGGCCATCTGGGACTGTACTGGGGGCTGTGAGAAGAAATTCTGGGGTGCCCAGGGTCCGGGGGCTGCTGGCGGGATGGAGTCTGGGCTGTGCCCACCCTAAACCCGCTGGGAGCTGGGAGGTGCCGGCTACCTGCGAGGGAGGTGGCCCAGGGGCGGGTGGAGGGCTCAGGAGAGCCCCCGGCCTGCAGCCCCGAGCCCCTGTGGAGGGTGTGCTCACAGGTGGAGGAGCCCACAGCCCCACTGAGCCCCCTGACTGGTGAGAGGCAGGATTGTGGGTCCTTATTAGGGTAGGGCTGAACCCGGGAAAGTCTCAGGGAAGGCTCCTACTCCCGAGCCTCACACTGGGCTGGGCTGGGCTGGCAGTGGCAGGCTCCCAGGCAACCCCCCCCCCCCACACCCCTATCTGCCATCTCTGGGAAGCGCCACCACCCTTCAGCCACTTAACCTCACTTACCGGCCTCACTCGGCCTCCTCCCCCACTCCCTTGAGCCATCTGTCAATAAAAATTTATTGATGCTCTTGAGTGCCAGGCCCTGCACTCGGTGAAATGGGGTCACGGGGTGGCTCAGGTCCAAACCCAGCCCTTGACTGGCCCCCGTTGGTGGGGTGGCAGGGAAGGGCCAGGTGGGACGTGTGATCCCTGCCTCGGTGTCTGCAGTCGTCCCTCAGTCTCCACCCTCCAATCTGCCCCACCGCTCCCACTACAGAGGCACGGATTCCCTGAAGATATGGCCCTGTCGTGGGTCCCCATGGTGGTAAGAGCTGAGGCCTGATGTCCACGGCCCCACACCAGACCACTCTCTCCCTCACCCTGGCCCTGCTGGGCCCTCTGCTGGAGATGACCCTCCTCTCCCTTAAGGGTGGGGCTCCTTTGGGGGCCACAGCCAAGCCTGGGAATGAGCTCCTGCCAGGCCTCCAGTGGGACTTAGTAGCCATGTCCCCAGACTCCAGACAGGCCGCCAGGCTGGGTTCACTGACCCTTCAGGGAATAGAGACAGCTCCGAGGCCAGGTCAAGGGCTCAGCCACCTCTGGCCATCAGAGGATGTGGTCTTCCGGGACTTGGTGGCTGAAGGCCAGTCCTGCCCTAGAGGCTCCTCTTGATGCTGCAAAAACGTATGTCTGGAGGCCTTTACCCTTATCTTCCCTCCTTCTGGCAAGTAGTTCAGGCAACTGCTAGATCATTTGTACCAAGGATCCCTCACCCCACGGGCCCCCTGGGTTTCTACTGTGTTCACTTGGTGGTCAGTGCGACTCCTGGGGATGCTTCTCTCTCATGGGCTCCGGGAAAATAATCGCCAGCCCTGCCCGTGGGGCAGCCGGGCGCTCAGGGCCCTCTCCTGCAGCTGCCAGGGGGAGCTGCTCCCACCGCTGTGGAGACCAGGATGGGCTGTGCTCCTGCCACCCGACCTGCTCCGGCCTGAGCTCCTGCTGCTCGGACTTTCGGGACTTCTGCCTACAAGTCTCACCCTACTCGGGCTCCATGATGGGCGGCAAGGATTTCGTAGTGGAGCACCTCAGCTGGTTCAACTCCCCTGATGGCGTGATCTGCAGGTGGGAGGCCCGAGGGGCTCCGTGCCTGCTGGGGGCCCAGGGGCAGCTCCTGGCTGGGGTCCCCCCACCCTGGCCCAGCCTTTCCTGCCACCTGCAACCCCCACAGGTTTAAGGAGAGCATCCAGACCCTTGGGCATGTGGACTCCTTTGGACGTGTGCACTGTGTGTCCCCCTTGCTCTATGAGACAGGCCGCATCCCCTTCACACTCTCCATGGACAATGGTCGCTCCTTCCCGCGCTCGGGGACCTGGCTAGCCGGTGAGCCCTGCTTTCCTGAGCCTTGCCCCCCACCCCCACAGGGACTTTCCCTGGCGCTAATCTAGTCACGCCTCACCTGCCTGGCAGTGCCCGGATGCCCTGGCTTAACCAGTCCTTCTGGAGGTGTGCCCGACGGGGGCGAGCGTTCTCAAGCTCCTCTCCCCAGCCCCTGGCATCCACACAGGACGCCCGGCCCAGAAGGGGGCTGGGGCCTTTGGGGGTCCCCCGGCAAGGTGGGCCACTCGACTCAACCAGGCTAGGGGAAGGGGGGAAGCCAGGTGGAGGCCAGAGGCCTGGGCAACCCAGGGCAGCCTGGCACGAGGCTCTGGGGGAGACCATACTCTAATGGGACTGCCATGCTTCGTCCCTGGGAGGGCACCCCCAGCTCTCAGAGCCCCTGGGGCCTCAGGCCTTCACTCACCCCGCACCCCCTGCCCAGTGCACCCCAGCAAGGTGTCGGAGACGGAGAAGAGCGAGCTGGTGAACGAGACCCACTGGCAATACTATGGCACTGCTGGCATCACGGGCAACCTCACCGTGACCTGGGAGCCCTCGGCTCTGTCCACGCAGTCTGTCACCATTGAGCTCTGGGGTTATGAGGAGACAGGTAAGGCCGGCCCAAGGCTGGACCGGCGGGGGAGCTCTGTGGGCCCTCAGGGCTGGGAGCTTGGCG